ATACTGCACGAAGAGTCCTTGATTCTTCTTCGTAGCACTATAGACCACTGGTTTTCTTCTGCTGTGACCAGAAATCTTTGTCTTGCTCTGATCCTGGTCCTGGGATTCTTCTGTCCTTCTTCTTCTTCTTCTTCTGAGGAATCCTGGTTTCGTCGCTTGAGTGTTGGATCCTGATCGCCACTGTTGGATCCCTTGACTTCTGTGTTGTCTCTGGGAGTGTCGAAGTAGACGATACGCACAGAAAGTTTATCTGGCGAGTAGACCACACACAAAACTAACTCGACCCTACCGCTCACCTCTCTTAAATACGCTCTCAAAAGAGGTGCGCAGTATCAGCTTTATCAGAGTTCATTCTTCTAACACAACATCAACAACCCAGGCGGGCCTCGTACCAACAATGGAAGGAGAGCCAACTCATTCAAGACAAGGTGCACTATTGGGAATGGTGAGACGGTGGCACGTCCCCACCCCTCTGAAAACTGATGTGAAGCGGCCAAAGGCCCTCTTTCAAGAAAACTGGTGTCGAGCACATTTTCTTCACCAAAAAAACTGATGTGGAGCGGACCGAGGCCCTTTCTTACCAACTGTTAGAAATAGTGCTTATCGCCGTTGAGCGTGTTTTAGTTCTTGAGCACTACGAAGAGTTCATAAATCGTTGCGAACTGGGTGTTCAGCAGCTCCACATTATCAGCGGGGTTACCGCTATCTCCGGTTCAAGAGGCCCTCTACGGCCCTAAAGAGGACTCTAAATAAGCGCAGCCTACAACTGGAACTCCTTCTCCCTTATGTTCAATACACAGACAGGCTACTGTGAAGAACGGTAATGACGTTTAATAACAACTATACAAACATCAGGATCCGACTACTTACTCGTCTACCTTCTCAATGAGATTTTCTATCCCTTCAGAAGTTTTACACGAGATCCTCATTGCACCTGAAGAAGATGTTAACGGTGCCCCATCTAAGTCAATCTGTAAGTAAATAATGAGCAAAAACGATGTAAAACCTTGTTCAATGCAACTTCCGTCAAGTAATGTAAAGGAGCAGCAAAAGGAAGTGTCATACGGAAGAAAGAGAAAGTAAAAAAATTTCAGAGATCATATACGACAGTTTATTATGCAGCACTGGGCTTAGAGGGGCACCTGATTCAAGAAAATCCCATTTTTTGATTATATGACACAAGAATCAGCAAATAGCGTATTACTCATTTTCCATATCTCAAAGAACTCCTGAGAAAACCTAGAAAGGAGTATGTTAATGCTTCCAATTTCGATCGCTATTTTTCGGGAGCTTCCTCCAATGCCCCCATCCTGTTACCACCCCATTCAGAAATAATAACTCTGTGACCTCTCAAGATTAACTACAAATAGAATACAACCTTATTGCTCCAGCACAAATGACATCATTTAAGCGATCTGGAGGCAGACCAATCTGTCCTAAGGTCAATTCCACGTCTTCGCTTTGCGCGGGCCAGTCCGGGTTCGACAGATCACGAATATGAATGATGACATCCTAAAACTGAGACTACCAAGAGATCTCCGTAATAAGCCATACACAAGAAAGCAAAAGGATTATCCGACATACAGCCAACGTCACATGGGAGAGTGTTGCTTGGAAGGCAGCCAACAGGTGAATAGGTAGATCACTCAGAAATCCAATGGTGTCCGTAAACACTACTTTGCGACCTGACGGGAGCCTGAAATTCTTGGACTGAAATTTTAGAAACTTTAGAATAAAAAAAGTCAAATTCCAGCTCTCAACGATGATTGTGGATTTTATGTGTCAGATTTTAGAAAGTATTTATCATGGCCAATAAAATTTCCTTGGCTAGAAAACTCAAAATGCCAAACGAAGTGTACGAAACAAAGAAGGATTCTCTAGAAAAAGCTGATAATGCTCCAGGAATTCTTCGAAGCTAGCCAATACAAGGGTGATGGAGGCGTTGCCATTCTAACAAAGAATCGAGAAAGTGCCAGTGCATGTGGATGCCATGGTCAGGAATATAACTGATCTGGGCACTGCTCCTCCTTAAACAATCAACAAATGCCTATTCGGTTCGAGAACTGACAAGCTTTCACCCTTTCTGGACAACGTGCGCGTTCTGATAAGATATGAAAAGACTGATTCACTATCAGTTACTATGCACACAAGCAAGAAGTGACACACAGCTGCCACCAATATCGGTCAACTCCGGAATTTCCCATCGCATTTTAAGAAAAACGTGAAAACACTCATGTGAAGCCACCAGTAAGCTTTGTTCCTTCGAAGCGGCTCTAAACAGGCATATCGCATCATTAGAAGCTACCCTCTTCGAGAAGCAAGTGTTAGGTCAATTCATCAGTCTGCTTATTTTGGGATTGTTTCAAGTATATATTTGCCACTCTACTAATTATGAGGCAAAGGTGGTGTAGTGGCAAGAAAACCGCTCAATAAGGGCGTGGTCCGAGTCAAACCCCTGATCGGTTCGCACCGAAGCCAGCCACACTTTGTACCCTACACGGACAGTTAACGGGTACCAGATTCATGTGGAAGAATATGTATGTGGGGCATTCAAAACGCAATAACAAGTCTGTATGGAAGTAGAACGCCTGCTACATCTGAACCAGGGATTGTTCGACAAAAGGATTTATCAAATTACAATCTATGCCAGCTCCACGAAAACGCGAGCCCACATCGCTTTGGACAGTCGTCAAAAGGGTACCGAGTTCAGCTGGCACATGGCTGATGACACGCTGTTTTCCCCCCAGTCCTTGTGCCTCCTTGTTACCAGTTGCGCTGCCCCACTGAGTATTACTTGGTAGGGAGAACGCTCAAAGCTTTGATAGCCATAAAGTGGCGGTCAGTGAATTCTTTGAGTCACAGTCTCTTAAGTTCAGGGTGAGAGGCAATCGTAATTTGCCCGTAAATAGTGAAAGGAGGTCATTAATCTCTCATCTTGCAAACCTTACAAATACATATATGAACTATATAATCCGAACTATTGAGAAAGCAAACAAAAAAGAGTCAAGGTTTTAAAGATTCTTTTTTTATTTTTCATTTTGGTTTTTCTACAGTTTCGAAATAGTGCTTCACCAACTGCAGAAATTACATTCACTAAATGCCCTCATCTCATTATACGACAAACAGTATGATTCTAAAAGCTAGGAGCAGAATATGTTGCGCTTTATCGTTTTATCACCCAACCACACTACAGTCTTCCTTTCTCAATTCAGTGAACCCTCCAAAGTATCCGAAGGTTCCAAAAAAGCAGACGGTCCTACCCACGACTAAAGCGACAAATGGTATAGTTCACTCCAAATTTTCTTGCCCTCGCCAAGCTTCCAACTTCCAAACCATTCTCGTTCAACGAAGTTACATGAAGAGTAAAAATCTTCCGCTGCCTTGAGGAGAGGGACCGGCCAAACTCTTCACATCTGCTTGACAAATACATTCGTCAACTCACCTGGCAGAGTGCCTCGTAGTGTCCAGTGTGGCGAAAAGGCGATCTTTAGGATTTAGGCTTGCAGCTCCGGTAAGACACTTCACTAAGCTCGTTTTCCCAGAGTTCGTGTACCTCAAAATACAAGTATTAAAAAATACAAATTCATGCGATAGAGAAATGAGGAACTATTCGAAGGAAGTAAAACCACACAGGGGTATTCTCTGGAAAGAGTAAAACAACTAGTTACAAAAAGATCTGATAATCAGACGAATGGTTTCTGCATAGCGAAATAGGCCGCAAAGTGCGGGTAATTTCGGAATCTCTTTCCAGTCCGTGAGGAACTCAAAGAACAAGTCGAACAAAGTCAATTCAGATTCCTCTTCCCCTCTCAGTTCCATCAAACACTCGCATACTAGTAAACCACTAATCCACATTCAAGCATTCAATAAAAAGGAATCAAAGGCTTGCAGTCGAAGTAGCTGCTTAATCAGAAAACATCGGCAGTTCTTTCTGATCACAGTGCCACTTACCCAACAACAGCGACCATAGCCGCGTCACGCGAATCCCCCACAGCTTTTTCAGTGTTTTTCTCCATGACTTGCTGCAGCTTTTTCCGAAGACTCTGTTCCCGTAGGCGCAACACCTCGAACTCATCGACACTAAATGATTGGCAAAAAAGTATACCGCATCAAATGCCTCTTGAACAAAAAATGATCCTGCATTGGGGACTGAACGAACGAGCGAATGGTTCTGAATTTGCTCCGAGCTTGGGTGTAATGGCGACCCAGTATGAAAGAGGAGGGTAGGGGATGGATCTCATATACTTTCCAAGACTCAAAGTGAGCAGTTCTTCGAATGAATAAAAGTCGTGATGAGGCAGAGGCGATGTAATGGGAAGTATCACGCTTATCACGTGGGCGGTTCGGGGGACGAATCCAGAATCAGCTCCCGTTCATGCTAACCAAGCCTTCTACCCTCCAGGTACGATAAAACGTGCCAGATTTGTCTGGGAGGATAAGACATTGACTTGTACATCGAGTGGCCCACGCAATTGATGGCACAGGGACCATCGAAATCAGTAATGGCACTACGATTCTAAATGAAAGTAGCATTCGTGCCGCATCCCAGAAAGGGATTTCATCGGCGAAGTGTTCAACCTTTACGAAAGTTGTGGTAAAAGGAGGGGGTCAGACTTCATTTTCCTGATAACTGATTCTTACCGTTTCACGCGCAGTATAGCGAAACTGTGAGGAAACTCGGTAGTAGTGTAGGCACGTAAAGGTTGCGAAGCGGAGTCGAACCGAGAGGGGTAAAGGTGACAATAAAAGGATAAAGTCTTCGCCGTTGATCAATCCCTTTGTGGGATGCGGCACGCATTCTACTTCCATTCAGAATCGTAGTGGCTTATTGAATGCGATGTGGCCTATACAATGACTTGCGGTGGCCAGCCGATGTACAAGTCAGTGTTTTATCCTCCCAGACGAATCTGGTACCAATTCACCGTCCCCGGAGGGTAGAAGGCTTGGTTGGCCTGGAGTCGGCCCGGGATTTGAACCCGGTGCCACGCGAATGGTAAGCGCCCACTTGTCACTACAAAACCTCCGCCAAAAGAGACAATATTCACCCAAAACTTCGCTCAACACGATTCTAGCACAACTCACTTGGCTCGTTCCGGTTGACGTGCGATATGTAGCACATCGGGATCGGAACGATATTTGTTGAGGTAATGTAAGCGGCTCCTAAACGAGGGCTAGTCCAGAGTTTTGCTATTCTGTAAAATAAGTGGAAAACGTAGGTCTATATGCTTACCGAATGTAGGGTATCTCAGCAAGCTGGATCTGAAGATGCGCCTCAGCCGTCCTGGCGTAATGTTTAAAATTGAGAAAGAACGATGTTATATCGGTCGTAGATAGGAACACGAAAAATGTTGAACAGCTCGTACTGAAAACGTTAGTACTCAACAAAGCAAACAGTGCACCAAGGAGCACAATCAAAAAAAAGCCACCTAAGAAAGGAAACATCAAAGGGCCTACATTCCATTACACACTGCAACAAGGGCAAAGCGATGCCGGCAGGTACACTTTTCAAAACGAACTGCCCGATTTTCAAGACAATTGCAGGGCACGTACACACTTACTTGCTGGATAGGTGATAACATGTCGACGTTCACCATGAGCGCTGTGACCCGTGATTGTTGCTTTATCCTTGCCAAGGCTTCCAGCTGACCAGTGCCCCATACTCTTTTCCTCTTAGTATTATAATCCACCCCCATTATAGTCGATCTGAAAGCGTCATATTTAGCGTGCGAGTAATTAACACATTGGCGACAATGCGCCTTTTCGCGTGTCTGCCGCGTGGGACGAAGCAATTTTTCCCTATTTTTGAGGAATGCGCATGAATGCTAGGGCGTTTACACACCAAAACACTTGCAGAAGGACTAGTATTCAATGCAGAAGCTAGTAAATTTTTGCTGTTTTTTTACTTTCAATTTAAACCCTTAATTTTCGTGGAATACTCCCGCCCCATACACGCGGAGCGTGGGAAAGAGGTCGCAAAAAAGGAATTTTTTGGCGCCAGAGGCAGTCAATTGGATTCGATCCAGATCTGCTACTGTAGAAAGTTACCTTATCACGTTAGCTATCTACATGTGGAGCTTGAGTTCTATTTATCCAAAAATTACCTTTTTTTCCTAAGGAAATCACTTTTCCTTTGTATCCCGTAAAAATACTCCCAATGAAAGCACTTTGATTTTGCAGCACTTGTATAGCTTCTAGCAATCGTTTCTCTTACAATATTAGTGCTTTGAAAATTTGAAACGTTTTTAAATTGGCTTTTTTACCATAGCCGCACCAGCAGTGACCAATCGTCCCACGCGGCCAAAAAAAGGTGCGTCCCAAGCAAGTTCGTTGGGACGCAATGTCGCCAACTTGTAACGAGGGTGAACCTGACAAACAATAATGAGTATAAGTATTAATGCCATGAATCTGTAATAACTTCGTGAAATTTCCGGGTGTATGGCAAATCTGGTCAGGTAACTCGCTCCAAGCCTCGCTAGCGCCACAGTGATCCTGTGGCGGATTGTTGCCGAGACCTGGCCTGTGAGGAACCTCACCTTAATTTCTAAATTCACATGCAGTCGGCCTTCCCCGGACTCAATTTGCAAACCATAAAAAAAAAAACAAAATTCGGCTTGATCTATGATGGAATATAGGCATGGAATAGGGATATATATATTATGCAGCAGCTGTGCAAACGTACCGTCGACCTCTATCGAACCTCGTTTATAACTTCGGCGACGTCCTGATGGCGATTCCAAGAACCTTTTGCGGCGCAACTGGGGATGCACGCTACGCGACGGTTTTCATGCGATGCAATCTTAGTAATCACCACTGCGAAAGGTCGAAAAAAAATCTTCTGACTGTGAGCTGATATTGACAACTGCAGGGTTCAACGATTAGCTAGCGCGGGCCTCACAGTTCTCAAACCGCTCGGCTAAAACGCTGAGGTCGCGGAGCATGAAAGAAATCGCTTTGCCCTATGTTTGTCAGGTTCACCCTCGTTAATTACTCGCACGCTAAATATGACGCTTTCAGATCGACTATAATGGGGGTGGATTATAATACTAAGAGGAAAAGAGTATGGGGCACTGGTCAGCTGGAAGCCTTGGCAAGGATAAAGCAACAATCACGGGTCACAGCGCTCATGGTGAACGTCGACATGTTATCACCTATCCAGCAAGTAAGTGTGTACGTGCCCTGCAATTGTCTTGAAAATCGGGCAGTTGGTTTTGAAAAGTGTACCTGCGGCATCGCTTGTCCCTAACCCATCTTCTCGGATTCTGTATTGCCCTTGTTGAAGTGTGTAATGGAATGTAGGCCCTTTGATGTTTCCTTTCTTAGATGGCTTTTTTTTGATTGTGCTCCTTGGTGCACTGTTTGCTTTGTTGAGTACTAACGTTTTCAGTACGAGCTGTTCAACATTTTTCGTGTTCCTATCTACGACCGATATAACATCGTTCTTTCAATTTTCAAACATTACGCCAGGACGGCTGAGGCGCATCTTCAGATCCAGCTTGCTGAGATACCCTACATTCGGTAAGCATATAGACCTACGTTTTCCACTTATTTTACAGAATAGCAAAACTCTGGACTAGCCCTCGTTTAGGAGCCGCTTACATTACCTCAACAAATATCGTTCCGATCCCGATGTGCTACATATCGCACGTCAACCGGAACGAGCCAAGTGAGTTGTGCTAGAATCGTGTTGTGCGAGGTTTTGGCTGAATATTATCTCCTTTACCTCTCTCGGTTCGTACCTATACGTACCTGCACTCGTACCGAGTTTCCTCAGGATTTCACCGTACCGCCCGTGAAACGGTAAGAATCAGCTATCAGGAAAATGAAGTCTGACCCCTCCTTTTCCTTTTACCACAACTTTCGTAAAGGATAAACACTTCGCCGATGAAATCCCTTTCTGGGATGCGGCACGAATGCTACTTTCATTCAGAATCGTAGTGCCTTACTGATTTCGATGGTCCCTGTGCCATCAATTGCGTGGGCCACCCGATGCGCAAGTCAATGTTTTATCCTCCCAGACGAATCTGGTACGTTTTACCCTACCAGGAGGGTAGAAAGCTTGGTTGGCATGGACGGGAGCTGATCTTGGATTCGTCCCCCGAACCGCCCACTTGATAAGCGTGATACTTCCCATTACAACGCCTCTGCCTCATCGCGGCTTTTATTCATTCAAGAGCACGAAGAACTGCTCACTTTGAGTCTTGTAGAGTATATGAGATCCGTCCCGCACCCTCCTCTTTCATACTGGGTCGCCATGTTACACCCAAGTTCGTACCAAATTCAGAACCACTCATTCGTTCGTTTCAAGTCCCCCAATGCAGGATCATTTATTGTTCATAGAGGCATTTGATGCGTAATTACTTTTCTTGCCAGTCATTATGCTCGCATGAGTTCCGAGGTTCTGCGCCTACGGGAACAGAGTCTTCGGAAAAAGCTGCAGCAAATCATGGAGAAAAACACTGAAAAAAGCTGTGGGGGATTCGCGTGACGCGGCTATGGTCGCTGTTGTAGGGTAAGTGGCTCTGTGATCAGAAAGAACTGCCGATGTTTTCTGATTAAGCAATTAATAATTCGACTGCAAGCCTTTGATTCTTTTTTATTGTAATATGCTTTGAATGTGGATGTCATTAGTGTGTTTACTTGTATGCAGTGTTTGATGGAACTGAGAGGGGAAGAGGAATCTGAATTGACTTTGTTCGAGTTGTTCTTTGAGTTCCTCACGGACTGGAAAGAGATTCCGGAATCATCCGCACCTGCGGCTATTTCGCTATCCAGAACTTTCGTGTGATCACCAGATTTCTGTTACTGTTATTTTCACTCTTTTCAGAGTAATGCAACCCTGTACTGGTTCAACTTTTTTCGGAATAGTCTCCTCATTTCATGTTTCTCGTAAACCGGCATGAATTCGTGTTGTTTTTTAAGTACTTGTATTTTGAGGTACCGCCTCTGGAAACAGCCTTGAGTGAAGTGTCTACGCGGAGCTGCAAAGCCTAAATCCTAAAGATCGCCTTTTCGCCACCCTGGACACTACGAGGCACTCTGCCAGGTGATTTGACGAACGTATTTGTCAAGCAGATGTTAAGAGTTTAGCCGTTGCCTCTCTTCAAGGCAGCCGAAGATTTTTATTCTTCATGTAACTTCGTTAAATAAGAATGGTTTGGAAGTTTGAGGCTTGGCGAGGGCAAGAAAATTTGGAGTGAACGATACATTGTGCTAGTCGTGGTAGGATCGTCTGCTTGCTTGGAACCTTCGGATACTTTGGAGGGATCACTGAATTGAGAAACGAAAACTGTAGTGTGGTTCGGTGATAAAACTATAAAGCGCCGCATATTCTGCTCCTAGCTCTTTTAGAATCGTACAGTTCGTCGTATAATGAGATGAGGGCATTTAATGAATGTAATTTTAAGTTGGTGAAAGCGCTTTCCGAGAAACTGAAGAATCTTCAAAACCGCGACTCATTTTTTGTTATTAACGGGCAAATTACGATTGCCTCTCACCCTGACTTGCAGAAGACTGCTGATTCAAAGAATCCACTGACCCGCCACTTTGGGGCTGAATTCACTGACGCGCCACTTTGGGCTATCATAAGCTATGACGTGTCCCCCTCCCAAGCAGTGCTTCAGCGGGCAGCTCAACTGGTAACAAGGAGGCAGAAGGACTGGGGAAAACAGCGGGTCAGCAGCCATGTGCCAGCCGAACTCTGTACCCTTTTGACGAGCGTCCAAAGCGATGTGGGCTCGCGTTTTCGTGGAGCTGGCATAGATTGTAATTTGATAAACCTTTTGTCGATCAATCTCTGTTTCGAATGCGGCCTACTTCCATAAGACTTGTTATTGCGTTTCGAATGCAGTCCCACATACATATAATCCCACATGAATCTGGTACCAAGTTTACTGTCCGTTGTAGAGTACAAAGTAGTAGCTGATTCGGGTGGCGAACGCGATCCAGCCGGGTTTCGGACTCGGACCACGCCCTTATTGAGCGGTTTTCTTGCCACTACACCACCTTTGCCTCATAATTAGTAGAGTGGCAAATATATACTTGAAACAATCCCAAAATAAGCAGACTGATGAATTGACCTAACACTTGCTTCTCTAAGAGGGTGAACATAGAGAGTAGCTTCTAATGATGCGATATGCCTGTTTAGAGCCGCTTCGAAGGAACAAAGCTTACTGGTGGCTTCACATGAGTGTTTTCACGTTTTCAAAATGGCCGATGGGAAATTCCCGGAGTTGACCGACATATTGGTGGCAGTTTGTGACATTTCTTGCTGGTGCGTAGTATTGATAGTTGAATCAGTCCTTTTCATACTTCAATTCAGATACGCGCACAGTTGTCCAGAAAAATGAAATCCATTTCGAACGCGGATGAGACATTTGTTGATTGTTTAAGGAGGAGCTGTGGCCAGGATCAGTTATAATTTCGCTGACGCATCCGCCACCAACTGTACACCCTCAGCACTCCCCTTTCCCCACGAAACTATTTAGAAATGGCAAACGCGCTCGATACCCTTGTATATGGAAGCTCTGAGAATTTCCCTAGAGCTGTTATCACTTTTTCTAGGAACCTCTTATGTCGTACCAATTTGTTATTGACATTTCTGAGTCTTCTACCAAACGGAAGTTTAATTGCCAGGATGATCGATACCTTTCTAAAATCTGAAACACCATAGAAATCCGCAATCCATCGCTTGAAAACTGGAATTTTGCCCTTTTTATTCTAAAAGTTCATAAAATTCAGTCCACCAGAAAATTGCCGAGCTCCCGTCAGGTGCGCAAAGTAGTGTTACCGCGACAGCAGCCCCCCCCATTGGATTTCTGAGTGATGCTACTATTCACAGCTGAAGTTGGACTGCTTCCAGCAACATTCCATGTGACTTGATGATGCATGTCGGATAATCCTTTTGCTTTCTTGTGTATGGCTTATTACGGAGATCTCTTGGTAGTCTCAGTTTTAGGATGTCATCATTCATATTCGTGATCTGTCGAACCCGGACTGGCCCGCGCAAAGCGAAGACGTGGAATTGACCTTAGGACAGATTGGTCTGCCTCCGGATCGCTTAAACGATGTCCATTGTGGTGGAGCAATAACGGTTGTATTCTAAATACTTCTTGCTAAGTTTAGTTTGAGGTCACACGAGTTATTAATTTGGCAATCGGGTGGTAAGCAGCAGGGTGGGCCTCTGAAGGGGGCTGCGAAGAAGTCTTTTTGAGATGTTGGATGATAATCGACTATTTGCTGAATCTTGTGTCATATAATCAAAAAATGGGATTTTCTTGAATCAGGTGCCCCTCTCCCTTTGCTGCATAATAAACAGTCGTATATGATATCTGAAATTTTTTTACTTTTCTTTCTTCCGTATGATGCTTCCTTTTGCTGCTCCTTTACATTACTTGACGGAAGTTGCATTGAACAAGGTTTTACATCGTTTTTGCTCATTATTTACTTACAGATTGACTTAGATGGGGCACCGTTAACATCTTCTTCAGGTGCAATGAGGATCTCGTGTAAAACTTCTGAAGGGATAGAAAATCTCATTGAGAAGGTAGACGAAGTAAGTACTCTTTTCAGTCGGATCCTGTGTTTGTATGTTGTTATGTTTCATATACCCGGTTTCTTTACAGTAACCTGTCTGTTATTGAACGTAAGGGAGAAGGAGTTCCAGTTGTAGGCTGCGCTTATTTAGAGTCCTCTTTAGGGCCGTAGAGGGCCTCTTGAACCGGAGATAGCGGTAACCCCGCTGATAATGTGGAGCTGCTGAACACCCAGTTCGCAACGATTTATGAACTCTTCGTAGTGCTCAAGAACTAAAACACGCTCAACGGCGATAAGCACTATTTCTAACAGTTGGTAAGAAAGGGCCTCGGTCCGCTCCACATCAGTTTTTTTGGTGAAGAAAATGTGCTCGACACCAGTTTTCTTGAAAGAGGGCCTTTGGCCGCTTCACATCAGTTTTCAGAGGGGTGGGGACGTGCCACCGTCTCACCAATCCCAATAGTGCACCTTGTCTTGAATGAGTTGGCTCTCCTTCCATTGTTGGTACGAGGCCCGCCTGGGTTGTTGGAAGCATAGAGTTGGACGTCAAGGGGTGTCCACTAGGCGTGAGCTCCGTACATATAGTCCTCCAGAGGTAATTGAAACAGTCGGCGCTGAACCCGTGGCGCATAAGAATGGCTGTGATCACTACTGTGGATTGCGTCCTTTGTACTCCAGGTACGTGCTACCGTTGGGTTTTCCTACCACTTGAGCGCAATGTTTTCGAGAAATTTCCTTGTTCCCCCCTCGAAGGCTAGTGCGACCCCCTCCCTCCAGCGGCTAGCTGCGCCCTCCCCCTTCTTGTTGAGGATTCTCAACGTAAGACTTGCCCTGTTTGTAATGATTCTGCTATTGCCAGTCTTCCCTACTGGATGCGCTCTCTTACAGATGGTTCTTCGTGCAACTGGCTGTAAGCTTCGAAGACTTTCATTGAAGTGCTCGTCTCCAGCCATTACCTACTTGTACAAGTGAGTGTTTGTGTATTCTCCGTAATCATGCTGACAAGCAAGGCTTGGGGCAAAATCATGGAATCGTTTCGATGTGAGGGCGCATTTCCATCGATTTCGAGGTTTCGGGTTGGTGTGTAGCATTGAAACCACTGTAATCCCTTCTCAAAGTTCGTTGTTCCATCGCCGCTTTCGACATCCACAACACACCAGAAATAAAAGTAGATTACTTATTTGAATCAAAACTGAAATCCTATGCACCTGTGTTCTAATCTTTGAGTAACCTAAATAAGCTGTTTAGGGAAGGCTTCGTGTCTCGAGAACCACGTGCCACTGGTCCGCACTTGGTATTTGATGTGTTCATGAATGACGCCGAATTCGCACGGTTCCAGAAGTCTACCGGTGTACTGAAGCGCAAGTCATCCTGAACAATTTCATCTTCCTTTCGGATCTGCGATTAGGAGTTCGATTGCAAGGCTGTCATCGTCCCACTATATATAGTCCGCAAAGTATGCCTGTAAGTGTGTGTGTGTGTGTGTGCGTCCGTCAGTCTGTCACGAAATTCATGACGCGCGTCTTAGGTACGGCTGGTTCTGAGAAGTGATGTTCCGGGCAAAACGGTAGCACTATGCTAAGTCACAGAAAGTGGCAACAGCTGATAAGAT